TATGTATGTACATACATACAAGTAAAATATAAATAAATTTAAGTAACCCATACATAAAAAAGTTAAGTTAAAAGCATTGCATTTGCATCATCCGCGTCTTTGCTAATCATCATTACACTCCCACGACAAAATCACATATGAGCCGCTCACCGTCTGTGGCAAACGACAGCAAGCATGTTGGCGCATATGTCCGCGCAGATGTTCGTCGTGTGTAGCTAGTATAACACACTATTATCTATTGCTTGAATGGGCAACTTGCTTTCAATTGTTCCCTTTCAACTGAGTTCCAATTTTGCTTTCAATTTTGATCAGCTTCTCAGCATTGGTATGCGGATTTTGTGAAAACAAAAAAATACTAAGCTTATGCATGTTAAAATGTTAATCTACAATGGAATTAAAATGGAAAATATTCTTCAGAAGCTAGTTAGTTACATTGTTTTCTTGAACGCGACATGTTGATAATAAAAGTGCTTCTCAAATTAAATTCAGCCTACGTAACTGCCCCTCTCCACAGGATAAAGTTTATATCTTGATACATATGTCAGAATATAATTTGCCAATGGAGACCGCTCATTGCTCTTCGAGAGCAATATATATCAGAGCTTATATCTTGCCATCTATTGCCGGCAATTTGGTAGTTTGACAGCTACATTTTCATTTTCACGAAAACTTCGTGACTGCAACATCATTATTATTTTAATATAAAAGCAAAAATTGAGCTGTTTCCTGTTAAAATATTTGTAATTATGTATTTGGATGTAAAATAGCCTATTTTCTAAATTTTTTAAGCGATTAAATCCGGCAAAAATACGTTTTCGAAGCTATCTTACAAATGCTTATATCAAGATATAAAAAGCCCACACAAATATTGCCACTGATATAACTTATATCTAGCGACCAAAATGGCAGCTGGGCAGCAATAAATTTTATCCTGTGGAGACGGCCATTAATGGCTTTCAATTTTGATGATTTTTGCGTTGTGATAGATTACAATAATTTATCAATACCGATTTTTTTTCAAAGCTCAAACATCAGTTTAATATTTTTCTCATTCGCATAAGTAAGCAATTCTAGAGGGTTCGGGATCGGGAAGAAGGAAGATATGGAATCTGTAAGTAGCGGACAGTCTTTGAGAATATGGGGGATGGTTAAAGAGGCATTGCGGCGAAATTGACATGTTGGCTGAGACTCGTTTTTCAATAAATGGGCGTGAGTTAGGCTAGTGTGACCTAGTGTTAGGCGGATGAAGCATTTATTCATGGTTGTTGTTGTCGTCATAGGAAGCCGGATGGCAGTTCTATTTGGATTGTGTGACTTGTATAGGTGGGTGTAATTTGCCCACTTAATGGCACATCGTTGATACGCAGTTTTGGATATTAATATCGCCACAGCTTTGCTTGAGAATGTCATGAAAGTAAAAACTGGAGGTTTCGTTGCTGATTTGGCTGCTTTATCTGCGAACTCGTTTCCATTGATACCGGTACGGCCGGGAATCCACGTCAATTTTATTCTTTCCTCTAGTTTAGGGATGCATAGCAGAGGTGCACGTAGTCGACGTCGCGGGCAAACTGCGAGCACGCGAGTGTGCTAGGCGAGGTGAAGTGAGCTGTACGTAAATGGCAACGTATACATTTTAACCACTACACACTTATTTTCAAGTAAAAATGCGTGTTTGTATGTGTACTTTTGCGACAACTGATCCAGTGTGGCATCAGGCCACCTGAAAAAGCCAATTTTTCCAAAACAAAAACGCCAAGTTTTTATTATCATGTTAAATAATTTTTTTGAGTCAGTAAAAAGTGTATATACATATCCATTTCTTCACGTTTTTGTTAATAAATTAATTTCAACACATTTATAACAACGCAAAACATATATAATTTACCTATTCCTCACATTTTATTCAGTAAATGAATTCCATCTTAAGCCCTGTATGCAGCTCTCAAGAAAACGGTCAAGAAAAAATTGCCATTATTTCGTGTGTGTGTCCAAGGAATTTTGACATTTTTGATACTTCACAGCTTGTTGCCTCACTCTTTCCTCGAGAAATAATGGAACGGGCATATATTTCTGTTGCAAACCCGGGTTGCCTTGTGCTCTTTTTTCACAAAAACTTTAGAAAACCGTAGTAAATTTCTTAAGAACTGCGTACTGCCTTAAGAAAATTTGACTCAAGAAAATTTCTTAGCGATTTCTTGTCCGTCATTTTATATGGAGTTTTTGCTTTTCTTGAGAGCTGCATACAGGTCTTTAATGTAGATATTAGTGTATAGTGTATACATACATACATATGTACCTATGCATTCGGTGTGCTTGAATTAAAAAAGCATCACTAAATAACGCACCAAACATTGAATTCTAATTATTTTGGCTTTTTGGTTTCCCAAAAGCACTAAATTTAGTGCAAAATGCACTTCCTTGGCAACAGTGAGCTGAGCACATCAATGCTCAAACAGTGATGCCAGGCCAAGTATTGAGTAAATGCGCTATGTATATTTTTCTTTTAAAGCAAAAGTTCTAATTGGCGAGGGGATTGATTTTTGGTTCTTACATAGAACACTGATAAGATTCACAAACTTATCTTAGGACTTAATTAAAATAATCAACATTATTTGTAGACGAATATATTTGTGTTCGTATGAAATAGTAGCTTATGACGGGAGGCTGGCTTTAGTAAAATGTACCATTTCCTACAGTCTTTAAACCACAAGGAATTTTTGTATAAGACTTTATACGAACATTGACTTGCTAGCATCGCAACTGCCTCTTTTACGTTTATTTTCCAAGAGTTTTTCAACGACTCGGCGCCAGTGAATCTTTCGCAATCGTATGCTGCGAATGGTTCATTATACTACAGCCAGTCTTCCGACATGGCACCCTGAAATTGTGCATATGGAAACTGTGCATACGCAATAATGCATATGAAAAAAACCGAAATAATGCATACGAAAAAAACCGAAATAATGCATATATGCACAGTTTCGGCTGAAAACCGAAATAATGCATATGAATAAAACCGAAATAATGCATATATGCACAGTTTCGGTTGAAAACCGCAATAATGCATATTAGAAAAACCGAAATTATGCATATGCACTCTTTCGTTTGAAAACCGAAATAATGCATATGAAAAAAACTGAAATAATGCATATATGCACAGTTTCGGCTGAACACCGAAATAACGCATATGAAAAAGCGAAATAATGCATATATGCACAATTTCGTTTGAAAACCGAAATAATGCATTATGAAAAGTCACCCCTCCTCCCCCAAAACCTCCCACAGACCTCTGGAGAGCTGTTTGAAAATAGGGGAATTTTAGATTTATCGCAAGGAAAAAACAAAGTTAAACTTGAGTCCGAAGAAGAGGGGCTGAACACCTTTTGCAGAGAACACCTTTCTGTGTAGGCGGCCTTGGGCCGCTCTTAGGGATTATAACCCTTACTACGTAGAATTCTCCTTTCTGTTGACATAACTGGGGCTACCGCCCCAGAATTCGCCCTGGAAAAGGATGAGGTAACTAGAATTCCCTTTCTGTGTGGTAAACCT